TTTTTTTTTTTTTTTTTTTTTTTTTTTTTGAGAACGATCGCGCGACGCGGGCACGAACGAAGAAGACTTCAACGATGGACGCTATTGAGAATAGAGGACCATTGCAAGTAATAGAAACGAAGCAACACTTCAGTGAACATTGTAACGTCGCGAATAGCGTTCAGTCGCGACGATTTTTTTTAATCGATCAAAGAACAGTCATGCAGCTTCAGCTTTAGGGATTTAGCTTAAGGATTTTCGACCGATTCCCACGTAAAGTAGGGAAACGACACTTCCATCCTCGAGTGAACGACGAGAGGAACCGGTTCTTGAAATAAGAAAAAAAAAGTACGTTTCGAGACGTTCAATCGCGATAATTTTCCCACAGCTTCAGAGACTTAGATTAAGAATTCTCAACGTCGTTGATATTATCAATTTCAAGGCAAAATAACGACGCTTTGACCCTCGAATAATGAAAAAAAACAAAAAACCGGTTCTCGAAACGAGGAACACTTTCGACACGAATCTACGCATTCAGTAACGATAATTTTCTAATCGATCCGAAGAGACGTACAGCTGTTTCTGTACAGACTGAGTTTCAGAATTTCCAACGTCGTTCACACGTATTACCAATTTCGACACAAGCTAAGAGGCTAGCGATATTTTAATCGCTAGTTCAGTGTCGAGAGGAACCGGTTCTTGAAACGAAGTCATCGCCACGAAGAACACTCTCGGCCAATTGCTTCTGGGACAGGTAACAAACAGCAGAGCGTTCAAGGCAACAAGTAGTTAACATTCCGATCGCTTTGAACAATTATCTTCCGACCATTTATCTTCGGCCAATCGTCCGCGACGCAGCTGTTTCCTCCGGTGCGCGTCGTTAAGGGTAAAACTAAAAAGATCTAAACTCGAATTTTCCAGGCAAAAAGTACCATCTCGTTCCATCGAACCTTCATTATCCTGTTGTCGAGTCGCTCTCGACTGGCAAGTGAAATTAATTCACCACCAACCTGTCGATATTCTTAGCCAATTGAAATCCTTTTCTCTCCCGGCTATGGTGCCAGCCCCTATCTCTTACCGCGATTATCACCGTTCGTCGAATCGCTGCTTGAACAAAAGTTGCTCTGACGGATCGTATCGCGACCAAATGTACAACGTAAGAGATAGACAGAGAGAGAAAGAGAGAGAGAAGCTGGCGTTATTGAGTCGCGTGACAAAATTTAATTAGAGACAGCGAATAGAGGGAATTCTGTGCATTAATTGTGTTCTGTCTGACGACCTTGCCCCCTTCGCTTGTTAATCGAGAATTCCTGTTTGACGTGCACCCCTGTTAACAGGATTTAGCATCCGCACGTCTATTGGCCGTCGCGTTTCCGTACGCTATAGACGTTCCCGTCGTTCAGATAACGCACGGACGTCTTCTCGATACCCCTATTATGACTGTAATTAGGCCACGCAGCGACGAAAGCGTTTCCAAGTGAATCGATACAAGGTTCGAGTGTGTGTATTAAACAATCTGGAGCTACCAATCTCTGCCGTGTACGACCTCCCACTCCTCCCCCCCCCCCAATCTTTCTGTATGGCGAGAATAAAAATTCATTCAAAAGAGACAGGACAGCAGGGTTTTGTTATTTGTCGGTTCGTTGCAGGCCCGCAGTATCTTCAGATGGCTAGTACTTTCTAAGGATTTTTTATTTATCGTGTTTACTCCAATTTAAAATCTGAGAGGCAATGATCACTATATTTTTGTTTCTTTTTTTTTTAAATATTGCATAGGTGAAATTGAACGAGCGAAGAAAATGAAATTTTCAACATGTAGATACACAAGATGCTCAAGTGGTAAGTGGAGATGTTCTAGAATGTGGTATTAGCCCTGGGACTAATTCTCCTAATGGAGAAAAGCCTCGAGTCCAAAGGTCTGACAACGTTAAGTTGAAACTACTTTCATTTTGCAAGATTTCCTTTCTCAAAATTCTGTTTTACAAAGATTAGCGCAGACTTCCAAGGATACGTTTGCCCTCGCTTGATAACATTCTAATTGAAAATCTTCAGGTAAAATTTAAAAATCTGAAACAAATAAGAGAAGCTAGGTAACAGAGGATGATTAAACTTATGACTTGTTCTCGGTCAAACGGCCATTTCAACGGGCTGCAGTGTTCTCCAAACTTTCACGAAGAAAATAAATGAGACAATCGTTTCGAGAGCTCGTGCTTCGCTCAAAGGGAAACAGGTGAAGACGCAGGTTAAAAGCAGGAATAGGGTGCAATCATGGCGCGATCAATAACAACGTGTAATCGTCGGAAAAACAAATTCTTCGAGTACAAGGGAGAACTTGTGCGATGATTCTTTAGCAACTGGCCGCGAGTTGGAACTCTATTTGGCAATTTACTCGATCAGCTCTCCTTCTCTATGAAATTTCAAGTACCTTCTTTCTGCACCAAGTGCAAGAGAGATGCGAATGACAGCATGAAAGTGTCAGTGCTAGCCTCATAATCTTGAGAAATTTTGTTTAACCGTTTCGGTACGAGCGCCGGATATATCCATCAGATGACTTGTGTGTACTTATATAATTCTAGTCTTACTTGTATAATTAACAGAATTTTATATAAATGTCCTAATATTAAAACTAACGACATTTGTTAGAAGAAACATTGTTTTATTAAGCACAGTTCTTATTTAAGGCTAAGCGGACAGAGCGCTCGTACCGAAAAGGTTAAGCCATTGCGTCGTAATGATAATTTTCGTTAGCTTTCGCTGGCACGTAAATTTCAAATTAGTAAAAAGCTAACGAAAGATTTCGAAGATAGGGCCTCCATTCAGTATATTACCTTATTCCCACAGAGAAACTCTCCTCTGCATCCCATTGCGTTACTTTCCCATTCCAATTTACACAAGAATCGATAAGTAACCGGTTTATCCCCGCGATCTTCCGTAAAACCAGGAACAAAAACACTATTGCGTAGCCACCGTTCTGGATTTGTTGGCAACGTATTCGGTGAAAGTTGTCGTGCAAGGGGCGCGTGCCAGCCGTTTCCATCGGACGCAGGGCACACGCCGAGCAAACAGGGGTTCCCGGCGATACAATGGTCTCCGCATCTGCAGGGCAGGGGAGAGACCGAGTGCAAGGGGTTCCGAAGTGAACTGGAGAGGGGGTGAAGCCATGGCAAACCGTCACCCTCGCAACAGTCTCTCTCGCGACAAGCTACTATGTACTAGGCTTAGTCGATGCCCAGTCAACGGTCTCTCTGCTTCTCGAACGAGCCGTTCCCTGAAACGAGGAAACGGATTCTCCCTCTCGGGACGGGGGCAAAGAAGCGAGGAGGGACTGCACGGACAAAGGGGCCATTAGATCTCGAAGGGGAAGCATCTCTGACGAAGAAGAAAAAAGAAACGGAGGAGACTTAAGCGAAGGGCACGGGATTTATT